TTCTGTCCGGTAAACTCTATCCATTGATCACTCTAAACACAATTTGCTAGTGATTTTTTAGTTTCATTTACAATTTGTAGTTTTACGAAAAAAAACCAACTTGTCATTTGAATATAAATAAAAATAATTATACTAAAACCATTGTTTTAACCAAACCAAAATCATCTCATATACAATCCATGAAAGTTGTTCTTTTGGACATAACACAACAATCAATGAAATAGAGGTGTAAATCAGGTCGTGGGGCGGCACAGCCCATATATATATATTTTGTATATATTTTATATATAGTTAGATAATATTATATAAATTATAATTATATAATAATATATAGTATATAATATATTAATAAAATAAATATTTTTTAAATTTTATTAGACTAATTTATTTAATTATTGCACATATAAGCAATTGTATACACAAAATTCTTATAAAATTAAAATTATAAGTTTTTTATCAATTTTTTTAAATAAATAGCTTTGGCCCGATGCACGGCCCGACCTGGACCAATACTCAGCCCATGGGCCAGCATGACACGGCCCATGGGTGGTTCTGTTCGGTAAACTCTATCCATTGATCACTCTAAACACAATTTGCTAGTGACTTTTTAGTTTCATTTACAATTCGTAGTTTTACAAAAAAAAAACAACGATTTATACATTTGTTAATAGGGTTGCGCTTAAATTTTCAACCCCCGAACTAGGTTTGTGCTCAAAAAGATTAGTGACTTTTTGGACTAGGCCCAGGCCTAATTCGTAGCCTGAACCTGACCATGACCAACCCAAGCCCAGCCCTGGCCTGAGCCCAATTCCAATGCATTAAATTTCGGTACAGACTACAGACTGAGACTGGGTTGGATAATTTAGGCTTGACCTTAGAATCAGGGCCCAAGTCCATTTCTTAGGTTTGGGCCAGGGTAGAGCTTAAAAGTTAAACCTCTTCTAGCCCATCTGATCACTCCTAACTCCACAAAATGCAATACATAATTTGCTCTTAACAACCAATAAACTGGTATTAACTAAAATTTATTGGGGGTGATTGGTCAAAATTCTCACAAATAAGTATAATGCATAAGAAGCCCGAATCTGCTGCGCACTTGGCTAATATGTAACTAGTCACAGGTGAACATATAAGTGCTTCGTATAGGGGTGATCATAGGTGAGGCCGGGCTGGGCTTTGCACTTATGATAAGGACTATAGCTTAGGCTCAGGCCCAGCCTGACCTGGGGTTCCAAGCCTGAAACATAAGCCCTAGCCCAGGTCTATATGGGCCCGGGCCGGGCCGAGCCAGATTCCGAGCCAATGTCACTTATATATAAAATATTACATATCTATATATTAAATGATATAACATGCATATAAACTTATTTTATACATTATATAATATAAAATATTACATATAATATAAATTATACATGTCATATTATAATCTTTATATATAAAGTATATAGTATAATGTAAAATAACATGTACACATATATATACATTATACATAAAATGTGTAAATTTAAATATATGAGGGTCGGGCCGGACCTGGGCCGGGCTTGATGTATTAAGCCCAAACCCGGCCTTAAAATTTATGGGCCTGATGTCAGCCCGAACCCAGGTCGGGCCTGAACATAAAACCCAGGCCCAAGCCCGGAATTTCCGGGCCGGGCTGAAATAATCACTCCTATCTTCATATCCTGCAGGCATGTGAGCCCCATTACTAAATGAGGCAGTAAAAGCGCTATTGAAATCCACACAACCAGTACAGCATGTATATAAGAAATGAATGAATAGTTGGCTTGAAGTCGTTTCAGAGAATTATAAAGGCTTTATAAATAGGACCATAAGGCTGTGTTTCGTTTGAAAGAAGGGAAATATTTAAAATATTTCAAAATATTTTAAATCTTCCCTCTTTCTTCACATGAGGAAAAGAAGCAAAAATATGGGGATTTTTCATTTTGAAAAGCAAATAAAATAACATTTCCAAAACGCTGAATACAAATAGACAAGTTGAAAAATGGAGTAAACACATCATCTCCTCCTTGCTTAACAACTTAAACTTAAAAGCTACAGTACAATCATAGGCATTTAGGTTTCTTACTTATACTAGTTGGGACCTATGAGATGCATGGGCTTTATTAAGAAAAATTGAGGAATGAGCTCTATGAAATTTCCAATTAAGCAGTGACCATCTAAGTCCAATTCAAGTATTAATTTTTGGGTTTTGTCGAATTTAACCAATCGCAATCCAAGTTGTGCTTTAGTGAAAGTGGTCAATCTCCTATGCTCTAAATAAATTTGTATTATGTTTTGTGTCTTAATGGTATTTTTTCATTAATTTTTAAATTTTATTAGTTTGTTATTATTTTGTATTATTTTTAGTTAAAATTATAAAAAAATCCTCTTATAATAATTCTACAAACCACCTTTGTGTTCTGGTCTAACTAAAACCTCCCCTATAGTTTTGAAAAACAATGCAAATACCTCATTTCCATTAGCTTTTCAATAACAAAGATGTTGAAGTTATAAATATACCCTTTGTTAGAATCCAATTTGTGCTCAGTCCTTTCAACCTACCACTTTATACCCCAAAACTTGAAAGCATAACTAAATCAGTCCGATCAGACATGTCAAAAACCTAAAATCCCCTCTCACATGTAAATTTGGTCGTTTTGATCGGGTTGGGCCTTCTTATGAACAGCCCTATTCATTCCCTACCCCTCCCCTAGGAATGAAATCTCATTTATATTGATTTCAATTTTCATTCCTATTCTTATTTGAACTAAACAGATTAGGGAAATAAACCATTCTGATTTTGAATCTAAAAAATTTGGATTCCAATTCTGATTTCAACTACAAACCAAACGGATCCTCATTTATTGACATATGGCTCTCAATCTGTCATTGTTATCTTGTGCGAGTTTGAGTGACATTAAATCATTAATCAAAAGATTCAAAACCAACAAAGCAAAAGCTATAAACAATATGTCTGACAAAAGTAAAAATTAATATATAATGCCCAGCCTCGGCCTTGAAATGAGCAATGTAGCCCAGCGTTGAATTGACCAGGCCAACTATTGCAGGCAGTGACATGAAAAGTGTAGACCTAGTCCGGCCCTAAGCCGTTACTATGAGCTGGGCTATCTGTTGCCAACCCCACTTCACGTTAGTAGAATCCTTGTATTTGTTTGATTGTTTCCTACTTGTGCTAAGCCTCGATTTCTCAGGACCCATTTGATAATGCTGAAGTGACTGAACTCAATGGCTGATCGCTTTATCTTGTAGTAAATGACTAAATGCTTTTAGGGAGGTTATATTCTTAGTGGCTGAAACTGAATTGGGTTGATTATCATACATTTGAAAAGTTTCTTATTTAATTATTTATTTAATAAAAGACAAAACAATAAGTTACTCAGTTCAGCCCCTTCGGCTGTGTTTGATTTGATAGAAAATAAGAGAAAAATATAAAGTTTATAAGCAATTTCAAAAAATTTGTTAAAAGGTTTCCTCAAGATATATAATTTGAAACTCCTTGAGCCCGTATAGCTATGATATCAATGGGCAACCTAATTAGGAATATTTATCTATATTACCTTCTCTAATTATTTAATGACCGTATGATTTTCTCATTGGGCCCAACGAGCCCATTATCTTTGATCTACAAGTGAAACTATAAGGCCTTCGTAAATTTATGCTGCTGACGGGATATGTTTGGCTCTTCAAAGTTGTTCCCTTCGATTAACTACTACAGACCTTACAAAAGAAGAAAAACAAATTTGTGTTTTGGATAAGCTTCAAGATTTGTGCTTTTGAAGCATAAAGTTCCAATTTTAGGATTTGTATTTTGGGATTTAAAAGTGCTTTGGCTTTAAATTATGTTTTTATACTTTTGGTCTTGTTCCTACGGCCCGCTCAAAAGAAAAAGTTTATTCAAACAGAGCCTAAGTTAGCAACCATTAATCGATATTATCTCGTTCAATGTGATCAATATTTCAACTTTCACCGTATTCTTTCATTTCAAACCCATTGTATTTATGCCAGTAGCATGGGCCTTTACCATATATTCAGGAGAGTTGGGCTTACTACTTGCTTATGATTTCCTCTGAAAGCCCAACTAAAGTGGTTAAATGACAACAAATTTCCTCTGAAAGCTCAATATGGTCTAGACATGGGCCCCACTATGGGTGCTTAGTGAAGACCAATTCATGGGCCTGATGTTCATTGTCAGGCCTAGCTAGGGACAGCTCACAAGCTTTGATGGGCTCCCTCTGGATGATTTAAACAACATTTTACAAGTATTTTGGAACCTTTTTTATTTTTTTATTTTATACAAGATTCTTAATTATTTAAAGACATGAAAAATAGGGGAATTATCTTAGGAAAAAAAAGCACTTGAATAGAGACCACTGGAATTTGACTGAACTCTGAACTATACATTCTTGTTAGAAAGTTGGGGGAAGAGAAGACATGAAGAATTGAAGATTATGCATGTCTTACTCCAGGAGTGAGATAAATACCATGTTTTAAGTAGACAAAACAAAACCTTATTCATAATATTGAGTAGGAAGTAATTATCTCTAATTCAGATGAACTAACTTTCAGAACTAGCTTTGTCTCATAATGCTAGCTGATAATATATAGTTTTCATAATTGTAGAGATTGCTACATTCAACTGTAGGTTAAGTACAATACATGTCTTTGGGAAATATACAGATCCAGAGTGAAATTTATTATCTTTTATAAAATGACATGCTAAAGCATTAACGTTGCATTTGGTTGCAGTGCAATATTATTTCCACTAATACAAATGTATGGGAGTGCAAATGAAAAAAATGCAAATTCTCGTTTATTTTATTTGGGGGTTTTATTTTGTTCTGCTTCATGTCTTAATTTACTTCATTTGTATTACAATCAAACAAAATAAACTAAAATTTGAAAGAAAAATAGGTCAGAATTTGCACTGTCATGATTTTGCATCAGTGCAAATTTATTTGCATTACAACCAAACATAACCTAACGTGCAATTTCTAATGCCATGAGGAAGCCATCACTCAAACTCTCTTGACAGTTTACATCACCAACAGAATAGCTTGATGGGTTACCAAGCAAATACTCTGTTTCCTCATGGTTTTGTTGCACCCATGGATGCTCTTGAAACCTTCTTAGGCCTTCAAGCTCAGCTGCCACTTCCTTCATTGTGGGTCTATCTTCCCCTTTCACCTTTAGGCATCTCCTTGCAAGTTCAGMAACTGCCATCAATTGCTCTTTGTTTTTCTCATCCACAATTCCATCCTCAAGAATTTGGAACAGTCGATTCTCTTTCATTGAAGAAACAAAATACATTGCCAGACTTTTATATTCCCCAGGTCTCTCTAATGACAGAGGCTTTTCCCCAGTTAAAATCTCCRCAAGAACAACCCCGAAACTATAAACATCACTTTTCTCTGTTAGTTGACCTGTATGAAAACATTCTGGATCCAAATAACCAAGAGTCCCCTGAACCAATGTAGTCATTTGAGTCTGATCTAAAGGAACCAACCTTGAAGCACCAAAATCGGATAYTTTTGCAACATAGTTTTCATCTAWTAATATATTAGCAGATTTCATGTCTCTATGAAGAACTGGTATGGAATGTGCAGAGTGCAAATATGCCAATGCTCCAGCAGTTTCAGCTGCAATTCTGAGTCGGTCTTCCCAAGGAATGGATGATTCATTGCTCTCATGGTGGATGTGTTSCGAAAGGGTTCCATTGGAGATGAATTCATATACCAGCAAAGGTACCTCTGTCTCTAAGCAACAACCCAAGAGTTTCACTACATTTCTATGGTTGATTTGGGAAAGAATCTCAACTTCATTTATAAATTGTGAAATCTGGCTTTTGTCCATTATTTTTGATTTCTTAATSGCAACTATTCTATTATTCGGTAAAATTCCTTTATAAACTGTACCGTAGCCTCCTTGCCCAATAACTCGACTCTCATCAAAATTTTTGGTTGCCTTCTTTAGGTCTTCCTCTGTGAAGATCWTGGCAATTTCTGAAACACCTCTACGTGAAGCAATTTGTTGTTGCAATAGTAAGCCACCATTTTGTTGAAAGAATTTCTCTCTGAGTAGGATAAGCCTTCTTCTCCTAATTGTCCAATACAACAAACAACTACAAACAAGGAGAGACAAGACGCCGAGACCAGTGCCTGAATGGTGAAACAAATAAATATAAAAAAAAATTACAAGTGTACAAATCTAAGCTTGTCCAATAAAAAATAGTTTATAATAAGGCTACTGATTTTAAAGTCAACATCACATAGGCATATTCTTAGATCTAAGGTCCCGATCACTTTTCGGTAAATTATTTATCCGGGTAAATGTAATTACTTGAGTAAATTTTTCTTAGGTAAGCTTGTCCAAGAACATCTACCCATGTTTTTTATTTCCTAGGTAAATAAGATAATGACCATTTTAACCATAGAAATCCATTATTAAAAAGGGCATTTTTGTCCTATTCAAGTGTTGACAACTTTCCCCTATGTGGGAAAGTTATTTACTCACCTAGGAACTGGTAAGTGATACCAAGAAAATAAACTTTTCCTAGTTCCCACATAAAAATGAAAAAAGAACTAAAATTCTTGATCAATGAGAACCAAAATCCCATTGACCTAACTTTCCTTCCTCTACAAATCCAAAAAAAAAACCCTAAATATTAGTTATGGGTCAGAATTGGGCCATGGGTCTAAAGCCCCATTACTATTGAAACTTGAATGCATCCAAAAGGGCTCTTCAAATTCAAAAATTAGGTTTTATTTAAAGTAGTTAAACAATTAAACAGGGTGCAACTTGGGTGGGGTGGGCCAGGTTAAAGGCCAATCCAGCCCATCCTTCGGATCTARACYTCAGSCCTAGGCTAGCCCAAGTGCCCAACCAGAGGTCAAAGTTTGATTTTCTCAACTAAAGCTAACACAACATCAGTTTTGGCTCGGCCGTGTTGTACTTAGCATATCTCAGCTTTGTGCACCATGGCCATCTTCTGCAGCCGCAGTTGTTCTACTTATATTTGCAGCTAAGGAGTATGCTTAATTATTTTTCTAATAGTTTTGGCTGTGAATCGTGACCGAGTGGGTATGGTAAGAAGATATTAGCTAGAATTACATACCTACAGCAATTTTAATCCCAAGAATTCTCTGGTTGACATCATCTGGATCAGGTATACAACCTTGACCGTCTCTAATACCATCACCATGGTAGCCAGCCGGGCAAGAACAATAGAAACTCCCAGCTGTATTATTACACTGTAATAAACAGTTATTAAGGTTTGGATCGCTGCACTCATCAATATCTGACAGACCAATCAAGTTTGATATTCAACTGGTTAGTTGGTGAGCTTAAAACCAAGCAAGATATATGAATTGTGAAGTCAAAGCCAATAATAAATAAACCAATTAAAACCAGAGGAGCCTATTTTGTTAGATATATAGTACCTTGGCAACCCAGAGATAAATAGGGATTTCCACGATAACCTTGTGTGCAGTTGCAGAGATATCCCGGTTGGCCATTAATGGAATTATAGCAGTAGCTGTTCTCATGGCATGCATAAGTGTTGGGGTTTCTTTTAGCTTCTTCACATGCCTCATTTCCAACAGCCCAGTCGAGGATCACCGGAAATTCCGTGGCATTGAAATCTTGGAGGTATGACGATGAGAAGTTGAACTGATTTTGTTCAACTAGAAAAGCATAGCTACATGGATTGAAGCTGAGGATATTTGCATGGTTGTTTCTGCTTTCGATCTTTATATCATACTTCATCACACCCTTGGGAATGGTGGTCTGGCAACAACCTATGCCGGCACATGAACCATTAATCACGTTAGCTATATCGTCACACAGAGAAATGCACCCACTGGCGTAGCTTTGGCCTTCCGTGCCGTTGATAAAAGCTATGGTGTCAGCCAATGGCTGTGAACCTGTTGCGAGTATCTGAGAAGGTGAACTGGGCTAGCTCTGTCGTAGTTGAGGAGTTGTCCTCCTGTCCTCTCTTGTTATAGCAATCGCTGGCCATCCATACATGGATACGCAGGTAGCCATAGAGTAGTGATATTTCAAGTACGTCAAAATTACCATTTGGTAAGAAGAGTTTTGGAGGGCTGAAGGAGGAGTTGCAAGTAAGATTGAACTGTTCATCTATGGAACAGTTGTCACCGATGCCAAATGGGTATGGAACACTGACGTTTCCGCATTTGTCTGGGCAACCAGACTGACTGGTCTGGGACTGGGAGGCCACCGTGGCTGCTCTGATCTCTGAAAGTATGATTAACAGAAACAACAACCTAAGGAAAGGCATTCCTCTCTATCTTCACGTTGGTATCTTCACGTTGGTTTCTTGAGGCTGGAGCTGGAAATATTCATTCCCTGATGACTTTTGGATGGATGGAGCCTTTTTATATACGTCTTTCAGCGATGAAATTACTCCTTGGCCGTCACGTTGATTTTGTCAAACAGAAATTATTAGTCACTGATATAGACTAGGGGCCTGCACTTACCGGTCCCGGACTACTGGACCTGAAACGTTTGGGGTTGGATAACTGGACCTGAAACGTTTGACATGGGACGGGATCTGCTCCTTACACCTGGCGCAAAACATCTCCCCTACTTATTAATTATCAATGCACGGTGGATGATCACCTTTTTTTTACCAAAAAAAACAAACAAGAAATAATTATAAAAGACCAAATGCTGAAAAGTCGGAATCAGTTCAATAGACCCGTCACCGACCGATAGAGACGATCTTTCTAGTATTTGTATTTGATAGGACGATCAGGAGAATGCAACACAAATTTGAAACTCGTTTTCTCTGGGGGCCCGTTTGGGAGGACTTCTGCGTTGGAGGGGAGTTATATTGATTGAACCGTAATGATTGAGTATCTGTGTTCCGAATAAGTTACTTGGAGTAGCTTCGATTTACAGTGGTGTTCGGAATGTTAACATTAGTTTTTTGGATTTTCGCCAAACACAATTCAATTTTTATGAATTCCATGTGAGGCCTAGCTCTGAATGCGAGAAGCTGTATCTTAAAAAATATGCTTACCTGACTTACCAGTTCATTTTTCAATGAAACCATCTTTATTAACTTCTCTAAAGCGTCTGCCTCATTGCAGCTCAATCAATGGTGAAGCCCCCCCCCCCTTCAAACAGACTCTTAATTTGAATCTGTGATTTAAAAGCTTAACTGGAGACAAACCCTACATTCTTTAACAGTGATGGGTTATCGGTTGAATTGGGTTGAATGGGTTAGAGCATTAAAAAGATCTATAAATTAGAAATGTGAATAGGTTGGGTCAGGTTGGTGTGGGATAGCATGGATCGGTTCCAAATGGATTATTAGGTGGTGTTTAGGAGTATTGTTGTTTCTTTGTTAAATCCATGCAACACTAAATCATTTTTTCAGTATATGTTTGGCATCAATGCTATAAATGTATGGATCGGAAGTACGTTTTCTTTGAAAATGTTGCTGTTAGGTCGGACATTTTTTGAAGCAATAGCAATATTTCCTATTTGGTACCAATGCTCCGGGAAACGTTTTCAACACTATTAGTATCCATTATCCAGTGCCATGTCGCTGCCACCTCACGTCCATGTTGGCAACAACGAGCTACAGCTCCAGGAACTACCAATTTTGGCGTTGTTCCAAGCCATGCCTTCCCGATTTTCAAGGCATAGCTTAGAGCACCAATTTTTTTATGAAAAAATGGTTCCAAACAAATGTCCATTTCTTGGAAAACCGTTTTTCGAACATGAAGCTGATGTGGTGCCGTTTTCTGGAGCAACGGCAACGATGCAAAACAGATGCTAGAAACCAGTGATATCTTGTTTGATTGTGTTGTTGCCACCTAAGCAATTGTAGCAATGAAATCTAAATGTTAAGTTCTTAAAAATAGAAACTGTAACTTTGGATATGAGAAAGTTTGTTTGATTATTTAACAAACTAATTAACAATTGAATAAAGTGAAAATAAAAAAAATTATATATAATGGAATTGATTAAAAATCATAAATAATAAAATCGTTTTAAAAAAATTAAGTAATTAATTAGTATTGATAATAAATAAATAATTTATTATTGATCAATTAAATTAATAAGTGATATTTTTAATATCATTAGTAATAATTATTTTTTAGATATTTTGCGAATTAATTCATTAATAATTAATTAACTAGCCATTAACAATTATGTATTCCATAATTATTTAATAAAACAAAATTATTAAATAATTTAATGAATAATAAAATAAATATTAGTAGACAATAAAATAATTAAACATGTAATTAAATAATATATATAATTAATAAAATAATAATAATAATTTTTAAATATTATTATTATTATTATTATTATATAGGGTTTTCAAATTATAGCATAGGTAAATGGAAAAAGCTTTTGGGGGGTAATTTTTAGAAAACAAATCAACCGAAAAGGAAAAGAATGGATGATGAGACATTTTAAGGCTGAAGTGAACAAATGGTACTAAAGGCATTAATTGTCTCTGAAAATGCATGAACGCTTTTTAGCATTCAGCTTTAAGAGGCTACGAACATGCACTGAATTTCTATTTTTGTTTAGTAAGGTATTTCTTACCGCCATTTTTCCAAAAATGAAAAAAAAAGGCTATGACCACTATGCCTTATTGCATAAAAAAATGTCATAGAATGCTTTCACGATAGGTAAGGCTATTTACCCATTTTCATTTTATTTCTTAGGTAAGGCAATGATCATTATACCATAAAAAACTATTATTAAAAGGGTAATTTTTTTCCATCCAAGTGTTAGAAAATTTGTCCTCTGTAGAAAAGTTATTTATCCACTTGAGAGATGGGTCCCAAGAAAAATGAATTTTTCATAAATCCCACATAAATCCAAAAAAAGTAACATAGGTATCTCGGTCAATGTGAACCAAAATCCCATTGACTACTTTCCCCTCTCAAAATATGAAAAGAGAATGGTCCCCAAGAACCAAATTAATAATTAGTCATGATAATCAGATTTGATCCAAGAACCAAAATCCCATTTGTAGGCAGAGTTTCCTCAAAGAATGAAATGAGCAAGATGGGGCATGATTATTTTTCATGTTACAAGCTACCTCAATTTTTATGCTATGGTCTGATTTTTTATTCTAAAAAGAATGTGACACATGACAAGAATTTTGTAACCAAACACTCTAATGTTATTCATTCTTGCTCAGAGTGAGCAAGAATTAAAAGAATGAAGCCTACAACAATGAACCAAACATGGCCTTAGTTACCCAATGTGGCATTGTTTTTTTTGGGTAAAAAGACAATGGTGCAAACATCCCCTTAATTAATCAGTTCTACCATATAGACAAGAACCAAACTAATAATTAGCCAGGATAATCAGGTCTGATCCAATTAGATGCCTGACATCTTTAGGGGGCATTCTACAACATGAATGCTTTTGTTTCCATTTGTTTTTGGTATCGCCACATCAGCAAAGAACAAAAACATGTTCTTGAATTCTGTTTCTGTTTTCAAAGGGAAAAACATGTTGATTTTCTTTCATAAAACTATACATATTTTTGGAACCAACAAAATGTTGGTTTTTAAAACAAAAACAATTTTCTAATATAGAAATTATATCATTTATGGAACATGGTGATGAATAATCAAATGAAAACATGTTCTTAAAACTGGACTTAAGAACATGTTTTTGGTTTCAGTTCTGAAAACAAAACACATACACAAACAAGAACATGTTTCTTATGTTATTGTTTTAAGAAACAATCTGTTTTCAAACAAGATGATTTTGATTTGTTTTTGGAACCAGAAACAAGAAAAACAATTTATGTATAGAACACATAAGTTTTCATATTTTGATAAACATAAATTTAAAAGGCTTTGGAAAAAAGACATAGAATATAATAAACTTTTTTTAACCAAATTATTGTATATATTGTTTATGAAAATTTTAAGACATAGAATATAATAAAAATTACAAGAAAATATAGGCACTTATATATGTTTTTAACTATAATGATTTGGAACTTAATCAGTTTGGACCAATCCCTATCAAATTATTAATTGTGATGCAAACCATACATGAAACCAGAAATAATATAATTGTTTTAATCGATTTTACAATTGACAGCTCTAAAATAATTAAATTGAACGTTTACATGAGAAGGCCATAAATACCACAGGTTCAACGCCAAGCAAAATATCTTCTGGATTATCTGGATCAGGCCTTTCAAATGTTCAAAGTTAAAAACCCATTTTAGGTGTTATAGAGCTCCAATCAGACATTACAAATAATCAACTGCCCCCTTGGATTTTAAAAATGTTCAAAATTGATTGCTTCAACGCTGATATATGAATACTCAGATTCGTCCCTAGACTAACTTAACATCATAATCCACTTTCCACTTTGGAATTGGTCTAAACTAGACTTTTATTTTCTGCAAAATGTTGCATTGCATCAATCGGCTTTGGACTCGATTTTACACAGTATCAAGTTCGGGCTTCAGATCGAATTTATTAGAATTTTAACAAAAGTCAATCCTAAGCCCGGCCCATTAATATGTCTAATCCGTAAAAAATTTTCTTCAGCTTTGCAAAGTCAATAAAAGATTATTCTATTTTTATTTCCAACCCATAATTTCTAATAATCAAAAGCCCAAAATATACCATATATAATTTGATATTTTGATGGGATGAGAATAGCTGAGTTAATAATTATTACTAGCATACAAACGTGTGGTTACTGCATGCAACTATCATGAAGGTAATCTACAATTCCAATCTTATACAGGAATAGCCCTCACATGACAATTCCAAACAGGATCTGTTAACGGAGTCAGAAAGGCCCAAAACCTAATCCCATACCCAATCCAATTATATTTTATTTGGTTGATTGTTTAAATTGAGGGATCGGATTTGGATTTTGAAAACCGGATTAGGTGCAGATCCAGCCCCTTTGGTCCCATAAAAGCTGAGCCTATTTAAATGTACAAATATGCATGATTAATTTATTTGGTTTATCTTTCATTTCATTATTACACGAATTTATTTTACAAGTAAAACACGGATTAATTCAATTCTAATTGAACTTACTCAAAATAGTTTATATTATAAGATATTAATAGACTTTTGCTGGCTTTGGCTGTATGATGGTTGATATTAAGCTAATGAACTTCCCACCGAGGTTGAAACAGGCATCGTTCTTTGAATTATTCAAAATCAAAATGGTACTAGTCTCCAAACAAGCTTCGATGATAAACATTTGTGATGGGC